GCGAGAGACAATACTGAAAGCTTCACTGGAATCCAAAGAGATTTCATCAGCTGGCTTCCCTTGGTCAATTAGCTGGGTTACTTTATCATGGAAAGAAATCAGTGTGGTAAGCAGGACTTTGCCCTCCCGAGAAGCTGTGCTGGCTGTGACTGATGACTGTGTCATCCTTCAGGTCTTTTCATTACCTCCCTGAATAATATCCTGAACAATTTTACGAGTCACTGAAGTGAGATTGACAGCCCTGTAGTTTCCAGGGTCATTCTTCTTGCCCTTCTTGAAAACTGAGACAGCATTTCAGTCAGTGGGGACCTCTCCAGATGCCCAAGACCATTCAGAAATCATTGAGAGAGGCCTCAAAATGACATCACTTGGCCCTGAGTATCCTCAGGGGAATCCCATCAGGCCCCATAGGGATACATCTGGAGCAGCAGATCCCACCCAAGTTCAGGGTCAGCTGGGAGCTGATCATTCTCAAGGCCTTTGTTCTCCAGCTTAGGACACTGGGACCCCCTTAATCTGTCATCAGTATTGAAGACAGAGGCAAGGGAAGATGAAACATATTTATACTTTCTAATTTTATTTCTCTCATCCTGTCAGTTAATTATGTAATTTCTATCCAGGTAAGAGTTTTTAAAGGAATAGACTTCACTTTAATTTTCCAGCTGTATTTAGAAGGAGAGGTTTGAGCAGCTTCCAAGTGATTCTTTAATTCTGGCAGCTGAATTTCTTGCTGCCTCTACAAGGAAATAGGACTTGGTTTCACTGGCTGGAGTGTGAGAGGTAAATTTTGGAAGCGATTTCATTTCTCATTCTCTGTCAAAGCACTGGAGTATTTAAATGAAAGGAATGTCTTCAACCTTCTTTAAATCCTTAGATTTTTTTTTCACACTATTGGTTTGTTTCCCCTGGCGCAGCTGGGAATCCCTGGGTGAAGATGATGTCTCTGGAGAGCAAATAGAATTCTGAATTAATGGGGATATCAAATGCCATCCCAAACACAAATATAAAGCTTAAAAATAGGAATGCAGTTACTGGTGAGTTTTCTTTTCCAGTCGAGTTCTCCAGGGATCACTTTTAACCCTAGCTGGTATTTTTAGCAGTGAGCTGGAAGGAAAAGTGAAATCATCATTGCACTAGAGTGTACAGGTCCTGAGTGCTGAGTATCTCACTGAATTGAGTGCTGGCCAACAACAAGCATTTCAGCACGGAAGTTGGAACTTTTCCTGGGAAAAACAGTGTCTGAGGGATTTTTATTTTTGCAAAGGGCAGCTGTTTATAAATTAAATAATTGTCCATGAAAGGCCTATAGCCAAAATGGCTAATGGGACTTCTAATCTTCTGTTTTTGTGGCTGCTGGAGTGCTCATGGAATGGTGAGTGCTGCTCTATTGTCAAGTCAGAGGAAAAAGTTGAAATATTGATAGGGTTCCATTATGCCTTCCTTATAATGCTATGCTGAAGTGCTTTCTAGATAGCTCATCAGAAAAATAAATTTAAAAAAACCACAACACAACAGAGGTGATCCAGTATAAAAATCTATGGACTATTTAAGTGCAGTAATAGCTTTCTCTTGATCTGATGGATGAGGTACTATAAAATAAGAATTAGGAACTGAAGCTTGCACAAAATGTTACATACTCTTTACAAGACCTGTGGGGAAAAACATCACCAGCTCTGAAAACTGTTATACCGGGTTGCAGTGTTTAAATCACTAATTGAATTGACTTATTTATTAACAATTTTTTAAATTGAATGAATTAATTATTTTAAGCCTTGTCGTGTCTGTGTGCCTCTGTGTGTCTGTGTTTTCTGGGAGAACTTTCAGATAATCCCATCAGTTCCTTTGTCTTTCCTTGGCTCCTTTCAGCCATATTTAGTGGGTGGCTCGTGTTTTCTTTTTCTTCTGAAGAAAAGGTTTGATTAGTTTTTTCCAGCTAATAATAAGACTTTTAAAGAGTCTTAATATAATTACAACACTTGATGCCGTGGTGGGATTTTTTTTCCCTGTAGGAATATAAAATGAAGATAGAGGTTATCCAGTATTATATTTTATATAAAAAAGGGAAGTATGGATGACTTACTCAAATACACGTCTAATATGTGGAAATCAATACCCTTTGTATGTGTCCAGGTATTACAAATAGATAAGAAAACATCTGCTCTTAATGAAATAAGTTATTATTCGTTGTTAAGTATCTCTCGGTTAAGGTTTTTCAGAATTTAATAGAGTAATTATCATACATTAAGGTTTTGTTTTGTAGAATGCAGCTGCCAATCAGAGTGAGCTTATTCTTTAACAGGATTTGTTACATCCACTGAGTATTGAAAACTAAATGGTCTCCCAAACTGAACTTTCACACTTGGCACTGTGAAAATGTTTTCACATTTAACCTGAATGTCATGGAAAGTGTTGCAAGCTTTTCTTCAGAATGTATGTGATTAAAGATTCTGATTGTTATGATGCCATTGACAGAAACATTCGGTATTTATCAAGTATATTTTTGATATTCAATGTGTTTTATGAATGACATTTTAGGTGGTGATACAGGGTATGTGAAGGCAAAGGCTTTACAAAAGTTTTTTTACAAATAAGAAGGTATTTTTTTCAATCACACTTGTGATGACATGAGTGTAGAAACCCAGAATAAAAGGAGTTAGAGTGTATTAGCACTGGGTTAGCATACACTTTTTTTCAGCTAAAGTTAGGAGCAAATAAAAGGCAATTTTTTTTCTTGCTAGTACTGAAATGATCCACTCCGTCTGCATTTCACAGAATGAGGCATAAAAAATTTTTTCCTTTATTTTTCTCATGGCCAAAATGTGGAGACCTGTGAGAGCTGGCTTCATACAGAGTCCTTCTAGATCAGCATAACGTTGGGCAGGCTTTAAATTGTGCACACCAATTTCACAATCAGAAAAGCTCCATCTTTCCTGCCTGCTCTGTCAGGAAGCTCTGAGATGTAGTACAGCTGTCTGTTCTGGCTTTGAGCCATGGAGGGATTTGCCTCAATAACAGGAATCCCCAGCATCCCCTTGGAAAGAGACCCTGCCAAGGCAGAAGGGATAAAATATAACAGGCAGGATCTGATTAAACTGTAAACTTTAATGACCTTTTTTGCCAATATGAGGAACTTCTATATTCATGCTATAATCGTTTCCGTGCTCGTGCTAACTGCCAGAGGAATATTTTGCAGGGAAAAAACAAATAAATACAGTTCTAAAAAGAAATATATTCTTTTTTTTTTTTTTTTTGGCTAAGTGTATACATATCAAGTATTGCACATCCAAATATCCCTGAACAATCAAGGTCTGGAGTAAAGTTTTAGTGGGAGAGATACAGTTTAGAAAACACCCCTGTGACCAAGTGAGGAAGGAATAAAAAATAATTTCGGAAAATCAGTTTAGTGACCTGGTTGATGATGTCAGCCACAGGTGTGCCAGAGCTGGGTGAGCACTGGCATGCAACAGCAAATGCCACCAAAACCAGCATATCCTAAAACAGTCCTCTGACACAGTAGCAGAGAATGAATTAACTTGGTAAATTTTAATCGTGAAGGTCACACCTCTGCCTGACAGCGAATCTGCTCTGAGGTTACCTTGCTGTGACTCACGTTCTTCAGGCAGAAGCAGCGTGGTGTTAAGTAATCCCTTTGAAATGACCCAGGGGAATACACAGAGAGAGAGCAAAAGGGGGAGGAACAATTTTCTTTTAAATTGAGGCAGTGCCTCATCACAAAAAATCATACTCTTTTTTTCTACACGTATCACTTAAATTGTGGTTAAAATTGAATGGCAGCGTGTTACTTCCATTACTGTAAATTTCTTGGGTAATAGGTGATTCATCTTGCTACACACAGTGACTCCAGCACAGAAGCAAGAAACATTTCTTTTTGGCAACGTGAAATAATTATGCAGTGGGGTCCATAGTTACTGACAGCCTATCCCTGCTGAGGAAATTGATCATTAAAACCCTCCAGAACATTTACGAAGACGCTGAAGAATACTTGTAGTGCAGGTAGCTCGGTGTGCAGCTGCAGATTGAGCCCTGGGTGAACTGCTGACCCTTTGCACGATAAAGCCCACGGGCACCTGTGGGTTCCTTTGTTGGGGGGGCACCCAACTCCATCTGTTACTCTGTTGCTGCACCTTTAATTTTGGGCAGAGGGCAATATTAATGTATTTTTAATCCTAATCTGTGTGTATATCCTTGTTCATCGAGACATCCCAGACATTTTGCAGGCTGTATTTTTTTTCTTCTGTGGTGTCTTTCCACAGCATTCCCTTTGACAGGAAAGGCAGCAGTCTCTCAGAGGTCACAGGGCATTAATTCTTGATGGAATAACCTGAGGCATCTGGACAGGGGAGTAGCAAAGATTTCTGATGTTGGCTTCGGAATGTATTCACTGGATCTGCCTGGGAGGGAGGGAGTTGGTTTTCTTCATAACAGCCTGTATGGTTCTGTGTTTTGGATTTTTCTCACTTTTGCTTCTCCCAATCACTTAGGAAAGCTACTTAGTTTCTTCCTATCTCAGAAACACCTCTTAAGAGTGGGGCTTTTTCCAAAGTGTTGTGCCAGCTGTTTTGTTCCAGCTGACTTTGGAATGTTGGGGGTTTTTTGACACATTTGTTAGTGCTTCTACGATGTTTTTTTCACAAAGGTTACCCCAGAGATAGAAGTATTAAGAGCATCAATGTTTCCATAATGGTGAAGGGAAAATTTTTGTAAGGAAAACGTAAGTATTTTACAGAATGTCATACCTTTGGCATCTGTATTTTAGTTTTGCTTTTTTGTTGTTGGGTTTTTTTGTGTGTTTTGTTTTGTTTGGGGTTTTTTGTTTGCTTGGTTTTTTTTAAACTCTTCAAACCTTATAGTGTGACAAAACATTTTTGTTTAGTAAGAGGGTTGCTTATGAAGTGGTTTCATAATTAGCTATCTTTCTTTGTCGTGGCCTAACACGGTAGAGCTTATTATTTCATTTTTCTTCTGGCTTTTTTCCAGGTATGAATACAAGCAAGAGTGAAACAGTGAAAGACCATCCATTAAAACCTTCTAGAAGATCTATGCCATGCCTGGTCCAGAGCCAAACACATCCTCAGAGCCTGAGCAAGCATTCCTCATTCCTGCAGCCAAACCGTGTCCAGCCACAGCCTCTCAGTGCAGGGACATCGACAGCGACGGTGGATGTGGTGTCAGAACGAGGTAGGAGGCTTTTCTCTCTCAGGAGATTGTTCCAACACTGCTAAGCTTTGACTTGTTTGGGTATCTGCAGTTTACTGGAGAAATGTTTTTGCACAAAACACCTACACGTATCATAGTACCAGGTTCTTGAGTGAATCCTCATTATGTCCGAAGTGAGGCTTTAAATTATTTTTATTCTGCTTTTCTCAGTTAGGATATTATTTCCTTCTCACTGGAAACAAGACAAGAAAGTGCTCAGGTGTGCTGGGGAAGAGCGTGAAGGTTTCTGTAGTCTGTCCTAGGAGAGGGAGAAAAAATAAATTGTAGGCTTCTGGCAAAAGCTGTCTTTAAGTATGAACATGTAGGAACAGATGCATTCATTCATCAGTGGCAGAACCAGGGAAGAGTGGTATGGAGAAAATGAGAGCGAAGGCAGAAAATCCCTCTGAATTTGTGTTTGTACTGGAATAAGGAACTAGTTGGGTTTTTTTTTTAGGATTTCTGATTTAATAGACAAACATGCCTTATCAGAGAAACTAGTCCAGTTGGAGATCTCAGTCACTGTGTGTTGCCTGTGGCCAGCTACTGCCATCCACTCTTGCCCAGCTGTGTGTGAACCTTTAGCTGACTTTTGCTACTAGATTTTGATAACTCTCTTTCCTTAATGTTGATAGACATAAGACACTAATTATTACTCTAGAAATTTATTATTTTACCAAGATAAAATTCTCTCAGGAATAGAGTGGAATTCTTCATTACAGTGACCTTGTTATTTTTTCTACCAGTGGAAAGTGCTCTTCAAAATTTTCAGTGTAAAAGTTTTAAAACAACTTCAAAAAGTATATCTTTTAGTTACAAAATACATCGGAATGCTGATATGAATGTTGCCTTTATTACAGCTAAAGTGGTGGAGACTTTGGAAAACAACTTGCTTAAGTTGTCTAATACAGAATATGGTGATCCATTTTTAGGTAAGTTGCTGTCTGAACTGAAATAATGAAAATCAATGATTATTCAGTTACACTTGCAGTATTTAAGAGTGGAAGGGCCATATGTACCCTGAACTAAAGAAAAGTGTGCTGACATAAATTTCCTGATACCGTCTCACCTTTCAGACTACCAGTAAATGGGGATTAAAGACAGAGAAGTGTCGTACATTCAGTGTAGCCTTTTCCCATAGCAGTCTTTCATAATGCAGTCACTTAGAGGCCTGTATTTCGAATGCCTTTGAAGTTGTCATTATTCAGTTCTTATTCTTGTGTAGTCATGTTATTCAGTGTTATTTTGCCTGCAGCTCTGTTGTTGTTCTTGTTTTGGGGTATTCTTATATATTTGCTGTAGATTTATACTTATAAAAAGGATTCCAATCCTTTTTGGGAGGGAGAAAGAAAAAGGAACAAGTGCAGCCAGTAGGCATGTTTGATATTTGTACCTGAATTACTGTCACTCTGATACTGTAATTAAGTCACAGAAAGTAGGAATTATTCTTAGAATAATCCCATTCTTGCAACTGCAAGTTGGATCTGTAAATACACTCGTGAGTAGTAACTAGCATATTCCAAGCTCAAGTAATTTTGAATTTCTGTGGCCATCTGCCTCACCCTTACAGACACACAGATATTGCTGCACCTTGGCAGCACTGCTGGGAAAGATCTTCCTGCTCCCAGGTGATGAAGCATCAAACTAGAAATCATATCTCCACGCAGAATGAAAGAGAGATGCTTCCAAAAAGCTATTTCTGCTCGCCTCTCACATGTTTTAGCATTGATTTTTTTCCTTCAAGTTACGTGATAGATGAGAGGCTTCTCAAGGTCTCCTAAAGAGGTATCTACTGGAAGTAGCGAAATTGGTACTTCCTCCAAACCAAATGTTCCAAAATCATGGCACACAGACCAAAAGTTTGGCATGGAGAATAAACAAGAAAATCGTGTGTCTCAGTAAGTTCCAGCAGAAGCTACTGCAATCTCCAGGTGTAAATGGTTTCCTTGGGTGAGCAAGCACAGATACTAGAAGATTTTAATGTTACAATTTCCTTCAATTTTTTTTTTTTTTAAATATCCTGCTCTATTTTTTACTAATTGCTTACACATGCTGATATTATTGCATATTTACGTATGGCAGCAGTAATTTTTTTTCATGGTAAGCGATGCACTGTTTTTCATCCACATTACTTAGTTTTAACCTGAAAGATACATGGAGGGCTCAAAATTGTATTAAATTTCAGCATGGATGTTCTGTCTCTTCTGACTACAGCTATGCTCTTTGAAGAGAAAAGAAAATATTTAAATAGTAGCCCTTTGCTAACTTGATTCATTAATTTGTCCGTGTTAATTGTTGAGTCAATCCCACATTAGTTAACTGAAGTCTGTGAAGTTATTCGGTTTTTACAGAAATGTAACTGGTTAGGTTGTTCAGTTACAAGTAAGAAAAGAAACAGTATTTATAAATTCATCTTTAAAGTAGGTCCTAAGAATTGCTTTATAGAAAAATCAGCATTATGTGTTAGATTCATGAAGAGAAATGAGGGTCAGTTAGAGGTGCATTTAACAAAATGGCCTGTGTGACTTCAAAATACAGTTTGTTGGTGCTTGAGGATCTAAAATTTTAAATTTTATCCTCCTGGGGGGAAGGTGGGGAGAGGGTGTGAAAAAAAAAACCAAAACAACCCAGAAAAAGGAATATTAGTGCCTGAACTTTGATCACCAGATAGGTGAAGACAATTGTACTCTGGCACTTGGATGGGTTTTGCAAAACAGGCTGATTAATGGATATCATTGTCTTCGTGAACCTTTTCAAACTGCCCTCCTGAGACCACCTAAAAAAGCTGAATTAAGTGAATGTGGTGAATTTTTCCTTAGGCACCGTTGTGGAGCTGGACATAAAACAGGCCAAATGGCTTTCTCCTCCTCCAGGATTGTGTCCACAGACAAACTGTCTTGTGTGAAGGGGATTAACAGGCATCAGGCAAAAGACTTCAGTGGAAAGCTTCTCTTTTATTTCTGTTGGCTGTACATGAAGCCATAAGTCTGTTAGACTTGTTTAGTTCATGACACTGATGGATTTATAAGTTTGAAGATAACGCATTACATCTTTGTTACTAACACAGACAAGTGGGATCAAGGACATTATGGATTCATGTTTTTTTTTTTTTTTGCCTGTCAGTTTTAGGTGTAAATAGCATTTTTAGTTTGAGGGGTTGGTAAATTCAGTCAAAGTGACAGGCATTGAGCTTCTGCAGCATATAACATGAACTTTGAGGTTTTAGACTCACTGGAATGCTCCGTGCCTAACCAAAGCTTTGGGGAAATTCCCACCCAGTGAAGGTTATGATCAGAACTTTTGGACATTACCTGGGTGGAAATCCAATTGCTTGGATCTGGACGCGAAGTAAAATGTGACACCTTGTATTTCTCAAAGCGTGGTTGTAGAATTTGACGTTCAGTCCAGAGCAAAATCATGTTATTACTTCTATTTTCTTGAAGAAAGAAATTGCTTCTATTTTCTTTTCCTGTATGTTTGCATTATAGAGGAGTTTAAAGTTCTGGTTTAAATGTCCATTGTCAGTTGAGGTGACCTGAGTCAAAGCTGGAACGACCAGCCGTGTAACATTGTTAAAGACTATCCTGATGTAATACTTGAAATTTCTCCTGAAAGATGCCCAAAGTTGTTGTTTTTTCTGATATGAAATGTGAAGATTTGAGAGGGCTTTTGGAGAGGCAGTAGATTTCCTGCCTGGGTGTACAGTCTTTGCTGCCTGACGAGGGAGATGCTTATGTGAGATGACAGACAGTTAGGCTCAGTCTCAGTGTGGTATTTGGGTAACAGAAGCAGTGTGTGATCCAAGACTTACCTAGGCTACTCTCTCATGCTGGTGCAATGGTCACAAATACCTAAGAGGCAGAAATTCAGCAAAACGGGAAAAAAAACCTATCGAATACTTTTGTATTTGAGTATCAAGATCTTATCTCTTACATTTACCTCTTGGTTAAAAAAAAAAAAAAAAGAAAAAATGAAAATACTTTTGCTGTGTTTGTAGATACATGTAGATTTGTTTCACACAGGCACGTGGATGTTAATGCTGAACTCATTGCTGTAACAATATAATTCCAGTGTCATCCATTTTTTAATACATTTGAAGGTCACACCAATGGCACTCAGATGTTTGACATTCATTTTTTCAAGGGGAATTAAATGTTATGTATAAATTTTTTTTTCCAAGTCTTCTGTCTGTGGATGCTTGCTAAAAAAAAAAAAAAAGTAGTTTATATTTCTATTTCATTCTTTTTTTCTGTGCTTTGTTTCTCTTCTGAAAGACATGCTCAGTAATCATTCTGATTGTGCCAGCTAGATTTAAATGACATGGCTTTAACTTCAATTACTGAATTCCTGGCTTTGTTGCAGACACCAATAATAGCTTGTGGATCGAGATGGAGCTGGAAAAAAATAAGTGGCTGGTTCCTAGTGGTGACATACTAACTAAATACAGAGGGTCACAGTAATTAAAATTTATTGTCCTCTAGAACTTTTTATGTTTGAATTCTAGAAACAGAACAGAATTGCAGAGACTAAGATTAACTAATGAGTGAACCTAGGAACTGCTCCACTGGGGCAGGGGTTGTGTGTGTGTGCAGTAATAGGTAAATTTTTAAAATAATGTTTTGGGTTTTTTTTTTTTTCTTTAAGACCATTTTATGCATAGAGGGAATGAACCTCATCTTTGAATTGTTACAAATTTGCCTGCCCATGTTCTCTAAAGGAAATCTGAGTGTAGACAGTTTTGTTGAAGGTTATTTGCACCAGAAGGTAATCTCTGAACAGCTGAAAAATCTTCTGTGATATCTGTTAAAATAATTGGAAATGGTTACTACATACCTTTTTGGAGTTGTGAGTGTTCTTTATAAATCTACTGCCTAAGAGAATTTATCAGGTTTTCATGATTGAACTGAAAATGAGGCAGTCTTAAGGAAAGATGAAGATAATTACTTGATCTGCAAGGATTTGTTTTACTGTATTTCAGTAATAACTCCATTTCTCTAAGAAAAACTTTTTTTCTTGCCACAGTTGAGAGAAACCCTCTCTTCTAATACATGGTGCAGGTGAAAAAGAGCTGTGTAGGATGCAAAGGCTCCCAAAACCACAAGCAGGAGTTGTCTGATCTTTTCTCAAATTGCCCTTTTGGCTTAGCAAAAGAACAGAGGGCAGTGGCAATATTTGGAGTGATTTGTTTGACATGTTTTTGCCCTTTGTTGAGTCCCTTCCTATAGTTGGAATTACTGTCAGGAGTGTTGTCAGGTTTGACTTTTTATGTTCACTTTCAAACTCCGTGAGTCAGACTTACAAAAAGGCTTTTTCTTGCTACAGTACAGATTAAAGCATTTAAAAATCCAGTTTATCACATGAATACCTAAGGCATCAGGGTTTTCAGGAGTCAGGGTATATTGGAAATCCAGTTAGGCTAAGAGAAAGACTCGTGAAGTTGACAGTCTGCTTGTTAACTTAAATTTTCTCATTGTAGTGCCAGCAAGCATGTAAGTAGTTTTCTCCAGATCCTATCATCAGAAATGTTAGAGGATCATCAGAGGATCTGCCTTACATTGTTAGGGTGAAATATCTCATTTCAAATACGATGTAAAAATGAGTAATGGATGATCAATAGGAATTAGAGTTCGGTATTTAGATATAATTAGGATCCACTTTTAAGTTATTTGGCAAATAAAAGCAACGCTTAGTAGCAAGTAAAACAACACTAATTAATTTATTGTTTTTTCAATTCTGTGGGTTTTTCCCCCTCCTGATTTAGGTTAGTTATGAGGGATTTTGTGCATAGTAACTCATCTTTCTAATCAGGACACTGAATCCTTCCTAGATAGGAACCTGATCATGAATGATGTAGTTAATAGTTTTACTGTGACAGATACCTTGTATTCTAAATGTATCCTGAATCTAATTACGACAAATCTTATCTATAAGA